CCTGAAGATCTAATTGTATACTATGTATCATATTTAACATTTGCAAAAAAAAAAAAAAAAAAAATCTCAGTGAGCATTTTTATGACTTTTCAAATGAAAAGACATGTTTTAAGAAGTGAAATGACTTGGAATTGCAGTACAGGTTCAATTAGGCAAGCTTCAGCTTCAATTCTTGCCTCTTAGGATGCTGACTTGGTAGAATTCAGTTCATAGTGAATTTCCAGTATTTTTCTCAGCTCTTGGTTCCTTCTAGATTCTTTTTTTTTTTTTTTTTTTTTTTTTTTGTGGCAGAATTCAGGATTGAACTCAGGCCCTTGCGCTTGCCAGGGAAGCACTTGTTCCCCTGAGCCATCCCCCTGGTGCCTCCTTCTAGACTATGTATTAAAGGAAATGTCTGTGTTTGGAGTGACAGGCATGTCATTTAGGAAAAATAACTATGGAGAAATTCACACCTAGAAGTGCACCTGTGTGGCCACATCCTTCCTGCACTATCTGAGTCTAGGGAGTGTCGGAAAGGCTAGACCTAACTTCATTACTTACCCCCCTGGGTGTCCACTCCACTGGTTCTGTGAGCATCAGGTCATAGGACAGTACCAGTTTGTTTGAAATCTCTTTGTAAAAGCAACCAAGGCAGAACCCAGTGGCAAAAAAAAAAAAAAAAAAAAAAAAGACTCATTGGGACCCTAAAAATTCAAGGCACACAGATTTGCTGTTTTCCCCTGAGGGAGCCCATTAGAGCATCTTTGTTGTGTGTTGCATTTTCTCCAGAGAGGAGGAAAAGATAGCCCAGATTAGGTTATGTAAAACCATTAGCTTGGGTACCACCTTATTCTTTTCACTGGCTTCCTTTTCTTTTTTATTCTCCTTGTTTTCTTTTTACTGCCTCCAGTCTTTCATCCACTACATTATCTGAGAAAGGCCCATACTAATGCTTAATGGGTTTTAGAGCTGCTTATGAAACAGCTCCGTGAGAACCAACTGGGCGGAGAGAGTGCTCTGAGGGAGCTTGTGGGCAGAGGTTAGATGAGACCCAAGACCCTGGAAAGGGCAGTGCAGGGCAGTGCTCTGCGCCTGCGATTACCTGGGTCCCGCTGGCCAGCTGAGCGTCATGCACTCCTGACCAGATGGACAAGAGTGCCACTCATTAAACCAAAGGCCCCACTTGTGCTCTGCTTAGAGATTATGAATACGTTTTGTCTTTTGCATGCACACTAGGGACCTCTCAGACAGATCTGGTTGACCCAACAATTCTAGCTTTCAAAGTTTAAAAAACGGAGTGGGCTGCTGGCATTTAAAATCGAGGAGAGGTCCAGGGAGATAGCTCAGTAGAATAAGCACCTGCTTCGCAAGCGCAGGGTCCTGGGTTCAATCCCTGGTACCACACAGACACACAGAAACACAGACACACAGACACACACATACACAGACACACACACACACACACACAATAAAATAAATTAAAAACTAAAATTAAATAAATAAAATTGAGGTGAGTTTTCATAACAATTGAGGCTTCTGACTTCTCTGACATGATGAAAAGATGTGGCTTCATGGCACCCTGCCCTGGGTTGGAAAATCTGGTAAGACTGGCTCGCAGGTGGCTGCAGTATATGAACAGGACCTGTATACCCCACGAGGGCCATTCTGCGCTGTCTGGGGTGGGTACATTTTCATCCATTACTTTCTCTGCCTGAGCTCTGGTGGAGTTTGAGGTTGTGAATCCTCATTCTTTCTTCAAGGAGGTTTGGGGGGGCAGAGAGTCAGAGAGAGAGAGAGAGAGAGAGAGAGAGA